CTCCATGCCCTCCACCGCATCGCACACTCCGCCCACCCTCTTCGCGTGCGCCTTGTCGTCCGTATGCCACGACGTCCCCTCCGAGCTCGGCGGCCGCGGACTCGCATCCGTCCCCGTCCCCGTGTCCGTCGTCGCCCCGCTGTTCGACGAATCCACACGCGGCTGCTCCGGCCTCCGCCCGCGCCCATGCGCCTCCGGACGGTCGGTGCTCGCCTCGCTCGCCCCCGCGTCCGCACTCGCGCTCGCGCTTCCGCTGTTGCTGCCGCTGTCTCCCCGCCTAATCTCGTTCGCCAGCCCGCTCGACCGCGCCGGGCCCGTGCTCCCGCTCGGCGGGACAGGCGGGAAGTACCCCTCTGCGCCCTGCGTCTGCGCCTGGCCCTGCGCCATCGCCATCGACACGGGCACAGGCGGGAAGTACCCCTGCGGCTCCTCCGCGCCCGCCTCGCCTCGCCCACCGGTGCGCGCCGAGTAGTAGCCGCCTGGGCTCCCCGGCATCGGGTGCGCGTGCACCGGCGCGCCGACAGCAGGATTGATGCACGGGTTCACCGCGCCGCTGCCGGGGCGGCCCCAGAATGCGCCGGGCGACATTGTCACACCTGGCGAGAACGGGGAGAAAGGAGACATGACGTGCCCGTGCCCGTGCAGCATCGCACGGCCCGCGTCGTACCCCGTGGGTGCATGGCCATGGCTCTGCCCCTGGGCGGCGGCGGCGGCTGCGTTCGCACGGCTGGCGGTCTGGTCCATGGGTGGGGGCGCGGCAGGCGAAGGCTGCGGGAGGAATGTGAAGCTTGGCATGCTCGGTGTGATGGGTGGCAGCCCCTGTGACCTGATAGTGCGCGCGGTGCGTGAGCGGTCTGCGGCGGGGGTATAGTCATAGTCAGATGCCGGCGTGCACCTTGCGTATGTGTGCGTACATGCCGCAGCCGTGCTCTCGCGCATGGGTGCCCTGCTGCCCGCGCGCTGTCCCTCTTGCTGGCGTGTGTTCCCCCCGGCGTCCTTCGGGTTGAGATGTCACAGCGGGGGAGCTGAGAGAGGGCAGCCGGTATGTACATTGGCAGTAGCGGGTCCTGTTACTACACTGTATTCTTGTGCGATGTACTCTGGTGTGCAGGGCGGCCTGCGCTTTATTGCCGTGACAAGGGGGCTATTTCATTGCGTGGGGAACTGCAGCATGCGGAGACGTGGTATACGCCAGATGAACGACTGAAGGGTGCGCTAGATTGCGCGGTAGATGGAACAAATGCATGAAGAGCAAAGGCAGCACGGTGATCTGTGGACATGCACGGCGCCATCGAAGTCGAAGCACAGCATGAGCGTGATGCTAAGTACTGCGATTGATGGCCACGTTGTTGGACTGACTTGTCAGAAGACGGCTGCGATCATGCGGGGTTGTGGGAGACGCGCGTGTAGAGCTGCGGGGCAGGGCGAGTGTCGAACCCGAAACGATGCGCGGGCGGCGTCATGGTCGACGTGCGACGGAACACGCGGATGATTGTGGAGCACTGTTGGCGAGCAGGGAGGACACGAAGACATCGCTATTCAGAGAAGAGCGGGGAGGTGTGAAAGCGGGGCGCCATTGAACGATCGGAGGAGGATAAATGCACGGCGGGCTGCTGTCGCGTGAGCCAGGAGTGTGCGCGGCGACGTCATGATGACCCGCGGGGTGCATGCGCTGTGCCCGGCACGGTGTATCCGGCGAGCTGGCGACGAGAGCGCGCCCTCGACAAGGAATGTGACGTCACGGCACGTGTGGAGGGATGGAGTGGCGGGACGAGCGCGGTGACGCCAGGCTCAGTCTTTTGCCCCGCCGCGCGTGTATCTGCTCTCGTCGTCGTCCTCGCCGCACGCCTTTCCTTTCTGGCGCACTCTCCCCGGCTTTCGCACTGGCACTCGCACGTCGCCCCCGACACACGCCTGTTCTGCCCCAGCCGCCGCAGCCAACCGCACGACGGCCGCTGACGAGGCGCGATGATGGCCCCGGCCTTCGCGCCCCTCGCTGTCTGTGCCTTTGCCCACTGCCCCGACGAGCCACTATTGACCCCGCCCTCCATGCAGGACTCCAATCGCCCCATCCCCGCGTCCTCGCCCCACTCACTCCCGCCATCCCACCACCCGCCGTCCGTCATCTACTCCCCCGCAGCCTCTGCCCACACGCCCCTCCTCTCCGCCCTCTCCCCGCGTGCCGCCTTCTCCATCCCCGGCTCCAGCACACCCGCCTCGGGCGCCGTCTCTCCGCGCTCCCCCGCCAGTGCCTTTGCCCGCCCGACCCTCCTCGCCTCCAATCCCGCGTCCGTCGCAGGCTCATCCGCCCCCTCGTCCACCACCAACCCGACCACCACGTCCAGCCCCGCAAACGCGCCGCCGCCCCCCTCCAACGATGACATCGAGGCCGTCATCAAGATGGCCATGACCAGCTCCGCCGCCGCCGCCCCGCCCCCCGGCGGCCGCGACACCCGCACCCAGCTCTTCGTCGGCAACGTGAGTGTGCTGC